TCAAACAACTTCTATACAACGAAAGGAGATTGCGACCACACAAAAGGCCACACCATCTTGGTCTTCATACTTCTGAATCGGGATTGTCGGAGCTATGACTGTAGATTTATGCGAATAACTCCTCAGCTTATCTTCCTCTGACTGCATTTAATCTTTGTTGAACGTTTTAAGGCTACTCTTACAAATTGTTGGTTTCACTCCATGAACAGTGGATTTAGGTGCCACTTTTGACTTTCAATCAACCACCCTCTTATGTTCACCATCTATGTACAAAGCGGCAGGATCCGAGTCGCTGAAAATCAAGCCATATTCCATTAACTATTCTAGTGCTGTGTTAGTTATGATATCAACACTTATGAAAGAGTAGGAGTCTAATTATGTCACTGAGTGTGGTTCAATTTGCGGCGTTGTTAATAAGGATAGTTGAGATGGCTTTGATGATGAATATTTCGTTTTTCCAATAATTTTATGATGATATTTTGATTAGTGGAGACTAATTTGACAATTGAAATCATTTTTGTTTTTCTAAGTGTTTTTAATGCAACAAATTTACTTTTGCAAGCTTTTTTTAATCCCTAACACTCTTTACACTCTCCTTAACTTTTATTCATATTGTCTTCCTTCTTACTCATCGATAGGATATTTTGGAAGGCCATCCTGGTTTGGCTTTCCTTCAAAAGGCCAAAGATTTTCATTCGCGTTATGTGACAACTGTAGTTGCGCGGATCTTCTTCAGTGTTAACTCATCTTGGTCTGGTCGAATCTCAATTGGCGAATTGCGCAGAAGCAACTTTCTCTCTGTATTGAACAGTCTTCAGGACGAGGATGACATCAATCTTATCACTCAATACTTCTCATATGAGCATTTTTATGTGATATACTGCAAATTCTGGGAGATAGATGATGACCACGATCTGATAATTACTAAAGCTGATTTGACCCGACACAATAACTATGGTAATGTGTGTGAGGCTTCTGACTTTGCATATAGTCTGTCTTATCCCTTTCTTATTGAACACTTATAGATATTAATTCACTGTGTAAGAGCTCTAAGATGCAACTACTAATATTGTCATGTTAGTTTTACCTCGCAAACTATTCGAAGAGTCCTTGTGAAACGTACTTAGTACTGCATCCTCAGCCA